TAAATAAATATAAAGACTTGCTAAAATGTATTATAATTTTATTGATTTAGTTTTATTTCACAAGAACATGTATTTATTTAATGGAATATTTATTTTAACTTTATAAATTACGTTATTTATTTATTTATTTATTTATTTAATTTTGAATGAAGGAGCTCTCCATAATTATAACATGGCGTACAGCCCAAAAAAGTTGATTTTGCATACCCCCCCCCTCCCCACCCCCAATATTGGTCATTTTTACCAATATTATGCTAAAATTTAATATGCCAGTAGCTGAGAGTCATTTACATCATACATTCTGGGGTTGCATGCAATGTTATTTTTCCAGGTTTGACCCAAACAGCATAATTTCTCAGCACAAGGCGATCTCTGTCTAAAACTCTAAAAGCCAGCGGGCGATATGCATCCTTTCAAGGAATGCCTGGCCTTTAATTTACCAATGTTCTGCAGTCTGGTGAACCAGGGTTTGGTGTCTTGGAACTTGTTTCCAAAGAGAGGGGCAGGGGCCCCGATAAGGTCCAACAGCACAAAGAGATCCTGGAGGGGAGAAAAGACAGGGAGGGGTGAAGTTTGCCATGGGAAACACATCCTGGCGGTAACATCCTTACACCCTGTCCATCTTACAGGAAGTCACACCTCAGCAGTCATATTATCACCATATGACTGTCTTTCACACAGAAATTCAGTGTTTCTTGATAGTTATTAGAATGCAGAAAAATAAAACCTAATGTTATTTAAAACTGTTTAATAAATCTGTACAAAAATAAAATAAAAAAATAAAAAAAACAGCAGAATAACTGTTATTTCCCTCAGGGATCAATAAAGTTTTCTAATTCTGATTCTTATTGTAACAAACATTCCAGGTGGCAAAATTGATATTGATTGTTTATTTAGACACACGAGGTGTGTGTTGAATTGATATGGTCCACCATAAAAAGTCATTCTGACTGGGATTAGATGCTTTCATGCTAAAAACAGAGAAAGATGGGAGGAAATGCCTACTATGCCATGCAGCAGGTTGGTCTCTGTGGCTCCCTCGGGGTGTGGGGTGACCTCCATCTTCTCAGCCAGGTGGCGAGAGCCATACAGGGAATCAGTGGAGGTCCACTGGAAAAGAGCCTCCTCCCCATCAAAAAAGATCAGCTGCAGGGTCAGGTTAGAGTTGGAGCTCTGCACGAGGGATTGAAAAGAAACTCCAGTTTAGTTCACTTAGTAGAGTTTAGTTTTACTTCAGTTGAACATCTGCTGCCACCTGGTGGTTCTGTTCTGATATTACAACACAAAAAACATTTTCCTCGTTCTTTAGTTGTGTGAAAACTGCTTCAGCATTCATTCTATTGTGTTTCTATTCTTAACTTATTATTCATTCAACTCTTATATATGTATAAATACATATTTTGCAATCTTATTGCTTTTGCATACATTGTGCTCTCTTAGCCACTCTAATATCAAATCATCAGTCTGGTACTTTTCAAAAGAATTAAAATTTATTTCTAAATATTTTCACATGAACACAAAACCGATTTATTTAATTCAAAAAAACTTTTTTCTTTACAAATCTGATTTATTAACCTTAATTTGATCATTCTACTTTTAGTAGCTACTATTTTATTTTTAATTTTATCTTGCCTTTTGCAAATTTTTGCTTGTACTCTTAAACTTTAGCTTTGAGTAAGCTCTTTGTTGATTTTAGCTTTTATCTAAACTGTTTCTACCTTTAACTTTTATTTTCCTATTTTTTTACTGCTTTTATTGAGTATTTAGCTATTTTTACATAGCTTTACATGAGCTTTTATATAGCTTTTTTGCTGGATTTGGCTTTTTGTCTTTTTTCTTTTAGCTTGAACAACTCTATTTTAGCTCTTTTAAGTAGCAAAGTCATTCAGTTCTCAGATTTTTCCCATCAATAATATTTTTATTTTACATTATTCAAAGCTATTCTTCATGTTGAGCTCTGTTTGCATTCGCTGCATGCATGTTCCCAGAGTGACCTTTGTGACGGGCAGCTCTGTCCTCTGCAGACCTGCCTGTCACATRYAGCCTCACTGTCTATCAATAGTCAGGCGCCTGAGTGCAACAGTGAGGGCAGAGGAGCCGATCACATGAATACTAATGATTTCCTTACTAATACTGTGTGAATTCATTGATGCTATGTTTGTTGTTGCTTAACATGCTAGAGAATACTGTGGTTTGCAGTTTAATGAATAAATAATTTTGGAGTAATTTGATCTAAACATAACTAKAAAGAAATATACCAAATATGTGAATTTTAGCCTTATACAGTCAGTGCTTGGGATTAAGATTAACCGATGTCCTGAAATATTAAAACACATCAGAAAGCCTCATGTGTGTCGTGTTCATTCATCACCATCAAGACAGAAGATTTAACTTTAAACAGATGAATTACATGTTAACATTTTCACTTGGTTGAATTAAATTTTTTTTAATTAAGGAAAAATAAATGTTTTTAAAGTAGCAGCATTCCCTTACCCTTTTAATCAAACTGCCAAGTTAACCAGTTCACTGAGTTACCTTTTGGCGCCTCTTTAATGCACATACTGGTTACCTTCTGAGCTTTCAGTTCCTCATCCAGGGCCCGTGCCAACTCCAGCATCATGGCACAGGGCACGGCAGAGTCTGTGGCCCCCAGGAACTCCTTCCCGTGCCACTGTGGTGGGTAGTATTTGGAATCGTAGTGACAGGCCAGAACCAGGCGGCGCTTCGCCGACGGGTCCAGTGTGGCGATCAGGTTGGTGAAAGGAAGTCGGCCGTAAGGTGTTTCTGAGTCGAACCTGTCCGTCGTCACTTCCCAGCCGGCTCCGAGGGAACCAAGAGTTGTCTTTATATGCTGTGAGCACACAAACACACTCACGTTTAAAAAACAAGCAACAACTCTTTGGTCGACAAACTACCTCTATTGTCTAAGACTGCGATAATTAAACATAAAGAAATATTTTTTAGAAAATCGAAGTAATGACATGATTTCAGGACAAGTGTTTCTGTGATGAACCTACTTCCTGTACAGCCTGGTTGCCTGCAGAACCTGGGTACCTGACAACCAGTAGAGGCTTCAGGTCCCTCTCCCACATTTGATCCACATCAGTATGATTCAGGACGGCGCTGATCTCCTCGTTTGTCAGTGAAACAGCTGTGTGTTGGAGCTGGAGACGGAAGTACACACAGTGACACAAAATAATGCAAGGAATAACAGAACAGAGGGTTTTAAGCTAAACATTTACAAGAATATGTGACCCATCACATCAAAATGAGGATAAGTCTCAAAGTGGTATTTGGAGAAATAGTCAAAGAGTTCTGATTAAAACATTTGCAAAATTTACATTTTGTCAAAACATCATAAATAAATGCCTTATCAGYGTATCATTTGAACGAGCAGTCTGAAATGTGATTGTAAAACAAAATTTTGAAGCACTTTTTTTTTGAGCAGTAACAACAAAAAACTGATTTTCAGTGATTTTTGAGTGATCTGATTTTGATGGCTTAAAATTTTGGGAATTTCCCTGAGATCTAGAAATGTTTTTTTTTTTCTTTACAGCTGGGAAATCTTAATGTTCAAATAATACAGAAAATACTATTCCTCATTAAAATGACATAAAATTAGGATTCAGACCAAATCTTATTGTATTATTGCAACCAGCAAGACAAATTATGTCATATATCTAGATACACTTATTGATCCAGGTATTAAATTGTAGCTTTTAAAGCCAGGAATCTGAAAATATCATTAAGTCATTTTGAGAAAATTTGACTTAATCCTCATTTCGATATGATTGGACAAATATAACAAAGAAGAGAAATTACATTTTCTGCAAACATGCAGTGTAAAAGCTGAGTCCTGAAAAACAAAAGTTTAAGTAAGGAAAACAAAATCTAAAAACAGTAAATAAAAAGTGGCAGAATAGTATATATAT